TAATATATACTCAATTTAGTCATCGATTATAGTAATTTTTTCTTGATTTAATCCTAAATTTGATTTGTGTTTAATTGAGTCATCAACTTTGATGATTTTTCTTAATTGAATCCTCTGTAACTATAGTTTTGTAATTTCCTCTCTATTAATACCCAATTTAATCTTCGACTATAATGTTTTTCCAAAATTAGTCATTTGACTATTGTGGTTGTTAATACCTAATTTAGTCATCGACTATAATGATTTTTCTACATTTAGTCATTGATTCTAACATTTGAGGACCCAATTAGAAAAAACTATCAAAGTTGAAGACCCAATTAAGAACAAAAAATGTTTATGACTAAATCAAAAAAATCACTATAGTTAATGACTAAATTGAGTATTAACTGTCAATGACCTTGTCGTCAAGTGACATTAAGTAACTCTTCCAAATGGGAGGTCATGGGTTCGAGCCCAATGGAGCCAATATTGACTCTTTGTGCTTCAATAAGTTTAAGAAAGTATTTCAAAAAAATAAAAATAAAAAAGTTAACAGATACTACATTGACTTCTCTCCGATTTTGATGATTTGGCTTTAGGGTGTACATTAACTCCCAACATTTCTTTCACTTAGCATTTTTACCAGGCTTCTCTTCGGTTTTAATGACTTGGCTTCGGGGTGTACATTAACTTCCAACATTTTTTTCACTTAGCATTTTCACCCGACTTCTCTCCGATTTTGATGATTTGGCTTCAGGTTAAGATTAGGCTTATTTACTACTCAAGGGTGTACATTAACTCCCAACATTTCTTTCACTTAATAATTTCACTTTTCTCTCCAGTTTTGATGATTTGGCTTCAGGTTAAGATGATGTGGCAGTGATATTTATTTATTTTAAATGCAAAATACTTTACAACCAATTCTCTCTCTTCGAACTCCATATTCATCTTCAACCTTCACACAACACTCGCTCTTTTTTGCAGACACTTGCAATTGTAATGTTTCAATTAAAATGAGAAAAGTGAGCACTGCACCACTCCATCACCGTCACATATGAATCTCATTGATGTAGAAAAGTGGATTTGATTGGGTTTAAAAGTCAACAATAAATGTGACAATTACCAAGTCGTCAAAGTTAATTTTTATTTAATTCAATGTCAGCATTGTGGATGTGTTACATAGGGAAAACCTTAAAGAAATTTTAGGAGTTAATATGTAAAATTAAGTCTTATTTTAGTCCAAAATGTAAATTGAACATTCGTGTGTAATAAATGTGCTTATTTGACCCTTCTGCCTAAAAAGTTGTATAGTATTATAATTGAGTTAATACCCAAAATCGTCCTCGACTATAGTGGTTTTTCTCAATTTCGTCCTAAACGACTTTGATGACCTAATATCGTCCCTGACTTTTGTGTTTCGCTCAATTTAGTCCCTGACTTTTGTGTTTTTGCTCAATTTAGTCCTTCATTTGTTATTTTGTCCATTTGGTGTTAAATAAATAGCCAATTCAGTAATTTTAATATTGGCATCTCTTTACTCATAGACATGTGAACTGCGAAATCTTTTTTTTTTTACGAATTACTCCCAGAATTACTCCTAAAACTGCGAATATAAAATTTGATTTGCAGGTCCGGGAGTAATTCTGGGTGTAATTCGTACAAGAAAGAGGAATTTCGCACTTCATAAGTTGAAAGTAAAGAGAGATCAATATTGACATACTGAATTGTCCCTTTATTTAACACCAATTTGACGGAATAACAAATGGAGGACTAAATTGAGCGAAACACAAAAGTCTGGGACGATATTAGGTCACCAAAGTCGTTTAGGACGAAATTGAGAAAAACCACTATAGTCGAGGACGATTTTGGGTATTAACTCTATTATAATTATATGGTTTGTCTTCTTTTCCCCTAATTATTACAAACATTTAAGAAAGGCAAAGAAAAACCTGAAAGTAGCTTCAATCATGATTCCCATTAAGCCCCAAAGAAAAGAAGCACACCACCATAAGCAAAGCTCCATATTTGTTCTAAGCATGATGTCAACATAAAAATTTTCCACGTAAGAAATGAGTTGTTTGGGACAACCTTCGTCGTTTCTGTGCTTTTCAGCAACGTTTTGGACCTCAAAGTAAACAAAGGAAGTTATGTAGAAACAACATGGTTGACTTTTTTATTTTTATTTTTATTTTTTTATTTTATACAAAAGACGAAATTCTCTCACCCCCAAGACCCAACACTATTGCCTGATAGAATAGTAGAAAAGTGAATTATAATAATTTAGCGGCCCATTAAGTGAGAGACTAGTGCTTAATAACAATCCTTATGCTGTGGAACTGTGTCCACCTTGCAATTAAGGTGGACACGGTTCTATGTTCATAATTACTGAACTATATATTCATAATTATAAAGCTATATATTCATACTTTTTGAACTTCATATTCATAATTATTAAATTATATATTCACAATTACAGAACTCTATGTTCATAATTACTGAACTATGTGTTCATAATTATAAAACTATATATTCATAATTTTTAAACTTCATATTCACAATTATTGAATCTCTATATTCATAATTACAGAACTATATGCAGTGGCGGACTCAGAAAATAATGTGAGTGGGGGCATACTTAACTCTAGATCTCACTTCTAAGAAAAAATTGCATCTTTTCCACAATTTTGTCTGAAGAATTCGTTACGAATTTATAATTGTCAATGAAAAAATATCAAACATCTATAATATGGTTCAAATACATTATAAATTATAATACAATAATATTTATGATAGACAACAAGATAGTTAAGGGCATAGCCAAAACTATACTTGGGTAAGGTTAAATTTTAAAACACTTTGAAATGCTATAAAATATATGAAACATTTTTTTTTTTTGAATGCTACTAGCTCTATTACATTGTAGTATCTGTTCATATACTTTCTCAACCTACTAAAACACAAAGAGCCAATAACACCTCCACACTGAGGCTCAAACTCATAACCTTCCAAATGGAAGTCCAACCCGGATACCATTATATGAAACATAATTGATAATTAATTAGATAAAATAGTTTGAATAGAAAAGATAGTATATTCCTAAATACTTTAATTTTAATTTTCTTTTAGTTATATTAATTTTTAATTTTTCTGAATTAATTTGAATACAATGAAGTATAATATAAACTTGCAGACTACATTAACTAAATGATTCACAAAAAAAGTAGACTTAAAAAATATTTAGTTTATTGAAGAATTGGAAGGGTTAAAATACAGAAAAGAAACTAAAAATACTATAGGATCGGAATGGCTAAAATAAAATTTAAAAAAAAAAAAAACAAACAAACAAACTAAAAATACTAAAAGTGGGAATTGAACCCATGACCTACTACAAACAGCCAAGGGTCTCTACCAACTAAGCTACTAAAACCTTTTATAAATTCTATATTTATATTGTATAAATGGCTAAAATTAAGGAGGGGTCAGTGGGGCAGCTGCCCCCACTGCCCCCATTGTAGGTCCGCCATTGACTATATGTTCATAATTATAGAACTATATGTTCATAATTTTTGAACTATATATTCATAATTATGATCAATTTTAGAACCGTATCCACCTTGCAAAGTGAACACGATTTCACAGCATAATTTGCCGCTTAATATCCACAAAGAACTCAATACATTGGATGAAACTTTTACACTACGGTTAGGGCTCGATCCTATTGTGTTCTCTTTTAATCCCTTCAAACCCTTCCCCAAAGCATGGTTCAATTAGAGTGCAATATTTTTAAACCTCTAAACCTGGTCCCAATTCCCAAAAGCATCAAAATATTCAAAATTCATATCATCAACTACTACTAGAGTAGGGTTAAAGCTATGAAAATATTCAAAATTCATATCATATATGTACCAACTGCTACTGGTAGAGTAGGGATAAAGGAAATGTAGTGAGCTGATTGATATTGCGATTTCAAAACTTCAGATAGTGGTTTACTATCATGACCAGGAGAAAATTGTATTATTAATATAATTTTTTTTTTTTTTGGAGGGGTAGGATTCTTAAGATATATAATATATTATTGTCATATTTATAGCATGACAATTATATTAACTTTAAAAATTTAATACTAAAATTTTGTACTTTATAATAATAATTATATTCAATTATATTATCTATCTTATCTTAAAAATTCTTTATTGCACGGACTAGTATGAACCACAAATAAACATTACATGCATTATTTGTGTATATAAAGTATATTATTTGAGTACTTAAAGTACATTATTTGTATACTATCAAATAATGTATATTCAATACACAAATAATTTACATTTAGTATATTAAAAATGTATTTTTTATGGTCCACATATTACTGTGTGGGCCATGGTCCGCATAAAAATTGTCATCCACATCACCATATAATCTTCTAGTTTATCTCAAATCCTTCTACCTTTTCTCCTCATTTTATGGCCATACACTCATACACATAATCTATTATTTTATTTACTTTCTTATAATTATAATTTCAAATTTTGTTTTTAAATCAAAATAAATTTAAATAAAAAAATAAAATAAGTTTTTAATTATAAAATATAATCTCATAAATTAATCAAATAATTGACACCACATTAAATTTTGAATTCGAAATTGTGTACAGAACAAATTAACATTCAGAAGTGAATTTAAAATATTAAATACTAAATATACCAACCATTAATACAATTCAAAATTTTAAAAATAAATTTAGAAATAGAAATAAAAAAAATTAGAATAACAAATAAAAACTAAAAAATAAAAAATAAAAAAATCAAGCTGTTGCAGTGGATGGGGCTATACATGGATGTAGGGTGGCCAGAGGGGCACCACCGGTCTCACACTTGTTTTTTGCAGATGACAGCCTGTTGTTTTTCAAAGGGAATATTCAGGAAGCAACTGTTAAGCAGTGCCTGATTAGATATGAGAAATTGTCTGGCGAAATGGTGAACTTTAATAAATCAAGTATTTGTTTTAGCAGAAATACCCAGATGGCGCAGAGAGAGCAGGTGGCGTGGTGTTTGGGAGTGGAACTGGCATCCAATTTTGGGAAATATCTTGGATTTCCTTCCTTTATAGGAAGAAATAAAAGGGCTGTATTTGCATATATAGAAGATAAAATCAGGCAGAGAATTGGATCATGGAACAAAAAATTGCTCTCACAGGCTGGGAAGGAGGTGCTCTTAAAAAGTGTGGCTCAGTCTATGCCTACTTTTTTATGAGTGTTTTTTGTTGCCTGAATCAGTGTGTTTGTCTATACAGCGTATTATGAACAAATATTGGTGGGGGACAGGTACAGATCGTGGAATACATTGGAAAGCTTGGGATAAATTATGTATCCCTAAAAAATATGGAGGATTAGGTTTTAAGGACCTCCGTGCATTTAATCTGGCCATGCTAGGGAAACAGGCATGGAGATTTCTTACGGAACCCACCACTTTGGTAGCAAGGATTTATAAGGCTCGATACTATCCTACGACCACTTTTGTTGATGCTACCATAGGGAATAACCCAAGTCACTGCTGGCGTAGTCTTATGGCCACCCATGATCTAGTCTGCGCCGGGGTGCGCAGAAGGATTGGAAACGGTAGGGATACATTGATATGGGGACATCCTTGGTTGTCTGATGATCCTAGCCCTTTGGTTCAAACACACATGCCTGAGGAGCTACGAGGGGCATTAGTGAGTGGCCTGATAGATCAAGATACAGGTACCTGGGATCCACATATTCTCAATGATTTATTTATTCCTGAGGATGTGACCCGAATCTAAAGAATACCAGTAAGCCCAGATTATGATGACACATGGTATTGGATGGGGGACACACAAGGAGTATATACGGTGAAGAATGCCTATAGGCGAATTATGGGAAATTATTCTGACAACCCAGGGACTTTTGATAAATGGGTTACATTGTGGAAATTACGAGTGCCACCCAAATGGAAAATCTTTCTATGGAGGGCTGTGTCTGGCATACTACCCACCACTGATAATTTAATTATTAAACGAGTGGAGGTGGATCCCATATGCCCCATGTGTGGCGCTACACAAGAAAATATTATGCATGCACTGATTTTATGTGATTACTCTAAAATGGTTTGGAATATTTCGGGATTACCTGTCACGAATATTCTGACTAATCATTTCCAATCATGGTTCGTAGGCGTGCTGGACTCGTTGACGGAAGGGCAGGTACGGCTGGCTGTTGGGATTCTATATTATTTGTGGCTAGCAAGGAACTCGGCGTTATGGGAAAGAAGCTTGCCACGGCCCACATCCACGGTGAGGAGGGCGGTGATGGCCGAGGAAGCCTACACCAGGCTGGGACGTGCAAGTTACCAGCCTCATGCCACCGTGTTGCCGGAGAGCGACCCACACGAGCGGCCCAGGTGTTACTTCGACGCGGGCTACAGACAACACACGGGAGAAGCGACATACGGAGTTGTGCTACTCAATCACGAAGGTGTTTTTATGGCAGCCACGGCAGGAACGTTACCGGGTGCTTTTTCACCTATTATGGCAGAAGCTCTAGCCTGCAAGGAAGCTCTATCATGGCTTAAGGGGCGCGATACACAGATGATTGATCTACTCACAGATTGTATGGAGTTGCGAAACATGATAACATCAAGAGGTACCAGAACTCGATCTTATGTTGGGGTCATTGTGGACCAGTGCAGGACAACTATGTCATTATTTACTTCTTGTTCTTTACATTATATTTCCAGAGCTGTTAATATGCATGCTCATACACTAGCTTCGTTAGCTTTTGATCAGGACCATCCTATGTACTGGGATGTAATCCCTCCAGACTCTATTACTATGTTCGTTCATTAATATACCAAGTTACTTGGCTTTCAAAAAAAAAAAAAAAAAAAAAAAAAAAGCTGTTGCAGTGACTTGATTTTTTTTTAAAAAATAAAAATAAAAATTGAGGATGGGGACATGCTACTCATGAAATTGGCATGTGGCCAGCACATAGCCAAACGATTGGCGTTTATTGGCTACGCGCCATGTCAGAGGCTTCAGAGAGAACAACCCTCCTAAGAGCATCCACACTTGTGCATATTGTGGGGAGATTTCAGCATTAATTCTTCCCTACATGAGATAATAACTAGTGTGGAGGGGGGATAATTGAAAAAAAATTGTCCTGCAAATGTGAGGATATTGTCAGAAAAAAAAAAAAAAAGAAGCAAGGCTGTGCGCGTTCGCGCACAGCCTTGGGCAAAAGCCGGGCGCGTGCACTGCACGCGCCCGGAGGCGCGCCTGACGCGTCTGATTATTTTATTTTTTTTAATTTTTTGTTTTGTTTTGTTTTGTTTTGTTTTTTTTTTTTTCACTCCCCTCCCACATTCTCTTTCCTAATCACTCTTACATTATCCCCCATTCTCCCCAACCAATGTGGATGCTCTAAATAAGTCCATCCTCTCCTTCTTTCTCCCCTCTTCTTTCAAAAAGTTGAACCTTTACCCTAAAGGGCCCCACACCCTATTCTTTCTCCCCCTTTTTCTCCACCCATTGGAAGTGCCCTAACTCAACCCTGCTACATTGACTATTTGATGGAAACAATAATATATAAACCAAAATTAGTATGAAAAATGTTTTACACCCCTACAGTTACCACTCCCTATTACTCTATTAGCCATCTCCGAATTTAAAAAGGAAAACTATTTATCTTTTATGGATTACTATTGAATTGGTTGACTCCACCTTGATTTAATAAGAAATTTACATATATAATAAAAATCTTACATGTCAAGTAGTGACTAATAGGAACTGGGAATTGTAGGTAGTATTTGAGAGAAAAAGGTTCGAATTTTGACAGTGGCAATGTAGGGATTATGTTTAAAGTGGACAGATTCTTTGTGCGCACGAGTATTTGGTCATGTATGTTGAGCCGGATTTTTCTCTATTTGGCTTACGGTTCGGGTCGACTCGACTAATCCTCGTTCGCTCCGGGTGGCATGGGAACTGGCTCAAGAGAAATTATCACTTGTGGGAATCCAACCTGGGTTATTCTTAGGATCGTTCCCACAGCTTAAAGAAGCTTCTTTGCCACTTGAGCTACCCCTTTGAGTTAGGGTTTAATGTGATTATTTGTGTTAATTATGTAATTAGATGTATTTATTGATTTGTTAGTAAAATTATATTTTAATGATTGTTTCAAGAAATAAGATAGACTAGAGATAAAGAAAAACTAAGAATGTATATTGTAGGGTAACACTTTGATTATGACTTGGAGCTTTGGATGCTCAATAATGCCATAAAATAGGATATATATTAAGGTAATGATATGGAGCTTTGGATGCACAATCTACTATATATATATATATATATATATATATATATATATATATATATATATATATATATATATATATATAAGAGTCAAAGAAAGTTAGACCTATAATGGATAGAAAAAATAGTTGTCAAATTATTAAATCAAATGAATGATTTAGATTGTTCAAATTTTAATTTTTCCTTGAGATTTCTTAATTTATCCTTAATTATATGATTATCCGTTAACTTTTCCGTTAAATATTATTTTCTCCGTTAATTCACCGTTAATATTGCCTAGAAATTCTTATAGAATTATAATATTAAAGTCTTAACGGAACTCTAACACACAAGTGAATTATAACTACACCATTAGTTTAATTCTAATATTAAAGTCTAAGATAGAATTATAACTACACCATTAGTCTAATTATAATATTAAAGTCTTAATAGAATTCTAACCTTATAGAATTATAACTACACCATTAGCCTATATATTAAGCCATTGTCCATGGATTAGAAGTACAAACCTAAATTATTAAACATCTCCCATCATGTTTCTATAATATTATTTATATAAACAAATTGACGCTACAATATGCTGGATTGCCGGCACCCCTTCAAACTCAATCTTCTGCCAGAATCCCCTCAAACTATATTTGTATATATTTAATATCTTATGCTTTAATCTTTATTTTCTATCCCTTATATTCGGTATTTGGTTTCAACTATACCCATACAATTATTTTATTGACCATTATAATCAATTTTGGCTATATTTTATTGCATTTGAAAACTTAGAATTATCCATTTAAATATGCAAATTCAACATTCAATTATCTATGCATGAACAACTCTAATATAATCTTGTCTTGATATACTTTAAAGTACTTATTTAAAAATAAAATTGGACATTATCTCAATCGCGCAATGCGCGTGAAAAAACTAATAATACTATAAGATTGGATATGTATGAAGGTAATAACTAATAATAACTATAACTCAATTATAATTATTAATTCAGAGATAATATTTTTTTAAAAAATGACAATTAAATATGTTTTATCTATCTAAAATTATATAAAAGTCAATCATAGTAATTAAAGGTTTAACATGAATATAAAATATTTTGGTTTAATCAATATATACATTGTACTTATTTTCATTGTACACCTAAAATTTATTTTTTTATTTTACTCTTTTATCTAATTATATATATAATTGCACTCTGGTGCGAATTCCGTCTAAGTGCGAATATGCGAATGTCTGATATCTGTACACGTGTCTAGATCTAATGGATGAGAAACACTGATTTTTTTAAAAATGCAATGACATTTTCGTAAATAATTGAACATCAAAGTGTAAGTAAAATGTATTACAAGTGCATGTAAAATGTATTATAGGTGCAAGTAAAATTTACACTGAGCATCAATACTAAGTGCACCTATAGTTATAAGTAGTTGCACCTAGGTGCATGAATGTTTGCGAGTGGTTTTCATGGGTACTACTACCTGTTGAACTCCCCGCAAGAACAAAAACGATGCCAAACAGAACGAACTCAGATGAATAAATGTTAACAAGGCAAAATTACATACACTTGCAGGCGAAAGTAGGTGCACTTGTAGGTGAAAGTAGGTGCACTCGATCAATGAATGCAGGCAAAAAATTACATGCACTTGCAGGCGAAAGTAGGTGCACTTGTAGGTGAAAGTAGGTGCACTTGCACCTGAACGCGACCATATATATATATATATATATATATATATATATATATATATATATATATATATATATATATATATATATATATATATATATATATATATATGAAAAAGTTCAAATGCGGCGAGGTCCTCCCATGCGGTCGTGCGGCGATTTTCAGAATATATATATAGAATTAAGTTCCAGTGCGAGTGAATGCTTCCCGTGCGGTTGTGCGGGTGATTAATGTGCGTGAGTTTTGTACTTAATGTGCGTGAGTCTTGTGCTTAAGGTGCGTGAGGTTTGTGCTTAATGTGCGTGAATGTGTAGTGCTTAATGTGCTTGAGTTTTGTACTTAAGTATGCCTAAGGTGCGTGAGTTGTGTGCTTAATGTGCATGAGTGTGTACTTAATCTGAGTTGTTGTTGAAACTTTAAAGTGCATGAGTTTTATGCTTAATGTGCGTGAGTTTTGTGCTTAAGGTGTGTGAGTCTTGTGCTTAAGGTGCGTGAGTTTTGTACTTAATGTGCGTGAGTGTGTATTTAATGTGAGTTGTGAGTTAAATCCACTTTTGGTCCTACATTTATTGCACATTGGACACATTTTGTCCGCTTTTATTAATTTTGCCACATTTTGTCCAGACTTTCTAAAAATTGGACACTTTTAGTCCACTGTTACATTTGGCGTTAAACAACCGTGAAGTATGAGGGCGTTTATGTCCTTTCATGTCCATGCGCCCTTTGTGCTAGAACTTTGAGACAGTTTTGCGTTCCATAAGTGCTTCAATCTTCCTAACCCTCTCGCGCTCCATCTACATAAGCAAATCAACAAATGCCTTGCGGCCTCTGATGAAGCGAAGCAATTTCACAGCAGCGGGGAGTGATCGGACGGAGTTCTAACTCGCGGCGATGGGGATTCAATCCCTCCGTGATCACTGTGTTTTCTTCGCTGATGTTGCAGGTAAGTTTTTTGATGATATCGACGACCTTTAGCCTCTCTCTCTCTGAGGCATCGGAGTCTTTGTCATGCAAAGGAGGCGTCGTCCTGTCGGATTCCCCGTCGCTGGAGGACGATTGCACGCGCCTTCCGTCGATTGAAGAATCATCGCACAGTGTAGAGGCGGTGGAATTGCTTCTGGAGATGTTGATAGACGAGTTGTTGTTGTTGTTGTTGGCGGCGGCGACAGCGGAATTGACGATTTTTGCAACCACTCCGAAGTCTCTCCACCGCCGCACGAGGGAGGAGACGCCGCCGGAATTAGGAACCTCACCGCCGAGGCATCCGACCTAGACGGCGAGTTCTCCGATTTATTCTCGCCTGCGTTTTTCCCCTCCCTAGAAAACACAATTTCTCTGACTTTATCCCAATTACCAGAATCCTCAATACTCGTATTCCTCTCATCATTCCTACGCGTTTTGTCCAGATATTGGGGTTTATGAACCCAAAGTCTGTAATGTCAATCACAAGACCGTTTTCATCGGAATCTGAATCGTTCCCCCGCCGATCGGAACCGCAAGAACTCACCAAAACCTTGAGATTCTTGTGAAAATGGCTCTGCTTTCTCAGCACACACTTAGAGGGAGAAGTTTGGACCTGGGTAGTCGCCATTTTTGTTCTCCTCAACAAATTTCTAGGCAGACAACAAGATTATCAACAATGGTGTACGGCAGCCTCAAGATTCCAATGCTTTTCCAGGCTAAAGAAAACAACCCACTCGGCTCAGATGAGCAGAAAATCTGAAAAACCATGAAGAATAGTCAATGCAGAGATTACAAACATCCATCTTAAAAACCAAAGCTTCTTCTCGGGTAAAAAAGCAATAACCCATTCTTCTCTCCCCATCCAAACAAATATAAAACG